AGCCATAGACACTTGATATTGTTATAGAGTTTCTCTGATGTTACTTTTCACTGTGTACTTGTGTACCTTAGGTTCTGTGTCCTTTCCCTCTCCTCTTTTGTGTACATGCCCTTAATGGCATCACCATATATTCTCTTTAAGTTTGCAAAACATTTTATGTTTATGTAATTTAATATTTGTTCTTTGTGGACTTTGCTCTTATGACCTGATTCATGATTTTATCTCTTGGGTCATTCCCAGAGCCTTTCTCAGACATCTGTTTTACAGACATGGTTTGTTACAGATATGGTTTATTTGTGTGCAGACTATTTGCTAATGATGCACCACCATATGTAGCTCAGCACCCATGCATCCCATATGGTGTTTGACAGTTTTGACTAATAGTCTGGCCGAACGGTTAGAACACTGGGCTCTCAAGTGGGAGACCCAGGTTCGAATCCTCTGTAAGGCTGGGGATTTAAATTTCTGCCTGGCGCAAAATAGAATCCTCACCTGCTTAGTCATGGGGACAGCATGAGCCCTGCAGCCGTCAATCCTCAGGCTCAAAGACCCGCCCCCCCCCCCCCCCCCCCCCCCCATCCCTGCCGACACTGCAGAAGTGGTATAATAAAGGCAGTAATTGGCAGTTGACTAATCGTCTGAAAGTTAGTTTTGTTACTGGTCTTGTGCAACAATTACGGTTGGGATTTTTTAGGGCTTCTATTGTCAAGTGAGGATGTTTTGTCTTATGATAAGCTACTTATGAAGTATGTGGTATCTTTACAACTAGCATGCTGTTGGAATGATTAATATATGTCCCCCGTGTGAGTTTCGGAACCCTATTATAGGGAAAACAAGAATAGACATACTGCCTACCCAAAAGCATGTCGTAAGAGTCGACTAATTGGGAGCTTCCTTCGAAGTCAAAGTGCATATGCCTGAGAGGCAAGCAACCAACAGTCTACACTCAAATGTATCAGATCTGTCAAACGGATGCACATGCAACACTCAGGTTCTGGAACAGGACTGCAGTCCAGAAGTGAACGAACAACCAGAACTTTCAACCAAAATTTACAGCTGTTGAACGCAAAGAAGAAGAAGATTAATATATGTCGTTGCTACTGTGCCAAAATCACCTAATGCAAATTTTGATGATTTCTACTTAAATGCATTTTCAGGGCAGTTATTTGTCACTTTACAATATGCCAAAATGCCCCTCGTGAATTCCTACTCCAGATAGGTCAAAATGCAGTATTACTTATAAGCAACTGAAGTATCGATTGAGATCTCAGTATCCCAACATGATTTACTCAAAGAATTTTTACTTAGGTGATAGCACTTTCTGTGTTAGTCTGCCCATTAAGCTGTGATGTTGTCTTTAATTAATTAGTCAGTTAAAAATGGCAGTACTTTATCTCCATACTAGATGTTCAAAGGTAACAACCATTGAGGACACAGAGTTTGAATTTGTGCCAGACCTAACCCCAGATGATAAGATCTGCAAGAACATGCCAAGCTGATGAAAGGAAAGGTTTTGAGGTCTAATTAATCTATGGCAGCACTATGTTTTTCAGTAAGTCTTCCATTAATTTATTAATATAACTAATATTGCATCGAGATGAAGCCAGTATTGTAAAGACATTACTTATGATCATTTCCTAACACTTTTCATAACAATAATATTAATAAATGAATACAGCAAGTGATTAATGAATGGCTAAACACACGTAGCAACAAATCCTTTTTTTTCAAGAAAGACCCAGAAACAATAAATGAACTGGAGCCGGGAAGGCTAACCTGGTCAGCTAACGCCCGCAGAAGTTGAATCATTGGCTAAAAGGTGCAAATATTACAGCCATGTTGTAAACGGGCACAGCACAATTACATCTTTGGATAAACGCAGAAGAAGAGGAAGAAGAATGAATTGCGTGAATTTAGTATCACAGCAAAAATGACCATGTCAAAAGAAAAAACTGATGTTCTGCTTTTAACAGATGTTTTGAAAAAATAAATCATGAAAAGCAAAGTAGTTATATTATTTTTATTTGAAGCTTCCTTCTGCATGGGTACACACGTTTTATTACTCTCATAATTTACATGGTTCAAACAAATTATTATCAACTTCAGAAAAAGATAAACATGTCTAAAATTGTAATACTAAATGTACAGACATGTTTGAAAAGCAAGTATTCTTTGATTTCTAAACTGAAAAGGTAATAAACATGGTTTCTAATAACATGCAGACTTCTTCTTCTCTTCCACCTTGTACCTCAGTGAAGTGTCGGGAGGAAAATGTAACATTTGTATTGATGAGCTCTGTCAAGAGCACTATTAAGATTGATGTTCATTTCTGTATGGCTGTTCCTAATGCCATCACTCATATTTTCGGAGGTCTTTCACTCGCTCTGTATTCGTTGTAACTTTTCGCTGTGGTAGATAGTACAAGGGCATTCTTGTTAGGTGTCCAAACCACTTCATTTATTGTTATTTGATTACTTGTAAGACTGGCTTTATTCCTAGCATTCGTCTGATTTTGTGATTTCATACGTTCAGACATTTCGGAACATATTGCTTCAGCAGTATTGGCCAAAGTGTCTAGTGGTGTTGCTGAATATTCTTTTTCGTGTGTCCTTGCTAGTATTCATTAAAATAATGTGTGGCTAATGACACTCCTGAAGAACATCATGCTAACACTGCTACTGTAGTTGGAACTGGCTTTTAAAAGTGTGTATACATATGACTGCGTGGATTTTTATCATGGTATGGAGCGTCGCAGGTCAACCCAGCCTAAAATGGGTACCAGGATAGCTGTCCCGGGAAAGTAAAAATGGCCTGCGTAATGCTGACCACATTACCCATCCAGTGCCGATTGGTCTGTAAAAATATGGGACATTCTTCCCATATACCCGATGCGCCTTAGGCGTGAAAAGAGATCTTTACTTTTTACTTACTATAAATAAGACTGGTGGACTGATATGCATGCGTACACATTGAATACATGTCACAGCCAGTACTGTGATTTAAAGTTAAAAACATGTCTTAAAATGAGTTTTGTATAATTAACCAAATGTAGCCAATGTTACACACATCAGGCAGCACTAAAACAGCAAATAAAACACAAGCCATACTTGTATGTGTACATTTGTATGTGTGGGTGGGGGGGGGGGGGGGGTTTATATGTGGTGTAGTAAAAAGTAACAGATAACCCTTTTTCCATGTCTTCAAGCATATTGTGCATATAGAGTTAGACCTATATTTTACAGACATTGGCACTGGGTGGTTGATGTGATCAGCATCATGCCAGCCGCCTTTACCTCCCAGGACTGTACATATGTGGTGCAGTAGTTGAGCTATTGCCCTTTGTTCTGATTTAGGAGGTCTAACTTTCGTTTGTTTTGGAGATCCCTGGAACTCATTACAGAAACTACAGTGCTTTGCACTTTGAGTGATCACCTTGGTGGCGATTGCCACTTTGTTGAGAAAAAATGAGCCTTATAGGATCCATTGCAATGAAGTTAACTGTTTTGATTTTAAACTTATTTGGCTGTAGGACAAATCATGTAGCTTGGGGGGCTGTTCTTTTTTGAACCACGAACAACAGGAACATAACACTAAAAGGGGTGAAGTCAGATAAGAGGGCTAAACAGGGGGCCAAAGAAGAATAGTAAACCAACACAGAACTGGTATCATAAGCCATTACACGCTTAGGGAGATAATAAGAGGGGATCCGAGCACTTATGGACTGAATGGTTCGATGTGCGATGAAAATAATCTGTTGACTAACCAACCACTACCCACGCACAAGGAAGACTGAGAAAACCCCCAGTGATCACAGTGTTAAAATATAGAATAAATAATATTTATGTTAAAAACTAAAATATGTAAAAACACAGAATTCATTGGAAAGACATATACTGCTTTATTTGTAATAACACAATAAATATGAAAATATTTTATATAAGATATGAGATTATTTCAGCTGAATTTGCTTTTCTATGGATATTCAAAATAACATCAGCATTTTTTAAATTGCTAAGATCAGCAGCTGAATTTACTGAAGTAAAAAAATATAAATTGTAGTGTGAATTGATGTTGAAAAGTGTCACACTCTTAATAGGAAGAAGGCACGAACTCATAAATTGGTATGAAGTCGAATCCGTGCCCTTGATGTTCATTGCTGCAGATATCACCCGCCTCCATTCATCTCTCTGGTTGGCCTTCTTCTTCAGCATCCCGAGGCCTTGATGTTCATTGCTGCAGATATCACCCGCCTCCATTCATCTCTCTGGTTGGCCTTCTTCTTCAGCATTCCGAGCCCTTGATGTTCATTGCTGCAGATATCACCCGCCTCCATTCATCTTTCTGGTTGGCCTTCTTCTTCAGCATCCCGAACCCTTGATGTTCATTGCTGCAGATATCACCCACCTCCATTCATCTCTCTGGTTGGCCTTCTTCTTCAGCATTCCGAGCCCTTGATGTTCATTGCTGCAGATATCACCCGCCTCCATTCATCTTTCTGGTTGGCCTTCTTCTTCAGCATTCCGAACCCTTGATGTTCATTGCTGCAGATATCACCCACCTCCACTCATCTCTCTGGTTGGCCTTCTTCTTCAGCATTCTGAGCCCTTGATGTTCATTGCTGCTGATATCACCTGCCTTCACTCATCTATCTGGTTGGCCTTCTTCTTCAGCATTCCGAGCCCTTGATGTTCATTGCTGCAGATATCCGCCTTCATTCATCTCTCTGGTTGGCCTTCTCTTTCCACTTGGCGTCACCAAGTGTTTGCAGGTCTATCTGGACTTTTATCTCTCTATCGTCTTCTTGGTCTGCGACCATTCATCTCCCTTGTATACAGTTTTCACTTCTGTCATCTGACATAAATATATCAGATAGGATCATGAAATCTTCCAAAATGTATATTTAAAAAAAAAATAGCCTACTATAAAAATTACCCACATTTTAGTTCTTCAAATAAAAAATAAATTATACATGACGAGAAGTATTACTGAAAATAAAATATTTAAAATAAAGGATTATCGACTTGTCCTAAAAATAAAATGCTTCCGTCGGCTCGATGATCATTGATTAGAAATAGAAATGGGTGATCCACTTTAACCACTGGGACAGGTGGCGGCATACAACACATCATTATCACCGCACCGGTTGCAGCAGCAGCCTCAGTACCTTCCTCATTCACCTGGACAAAGGCTTTGTGGGCCACCTCGGACAAGACCAGATCTCGCTGACCGGTCATTCCTGAAAAGTTTGCACCCTCCTTGCTGAAAGCATCGGCCATTCCTAGACTTGTCAGGACCGACTTCAGCATATATGTGCTCGTAATCTGGCAATTGTCAAATTCTTTGTGGTTAAAAATATTATCAGTTGAAACTTTACAAATAACGGCACAATGTAAAACTGTTATTCAGTAACGTAAACAGTCTACAAGAAGGGTACTTAAATATATTCAGGAAGCAATATAATCCAGCAGTTGCACATTTATCTTTGATATCTTCTTGATAAATTCTTTCCGGTAACATTTTAATTTTCTGGACTTTTTGTGGATGCTTTTTATAATATAAAGGTCTTAAGTATTTCTAAATGTTCTAAGGCTTTTTTCTACTTCTTCTCTTCCACCTTGTACCTCATGAAAGTATCAGGGGGGAGATGTAATTTTCATTGATGAGCTCTGTCAAGAGCACTATTAAGACTGATGTTCATTTCTGTACAGTTGTTATTAATGCCATCACTCCATATTTTCCGTGGTCTTCCACTTGCTCTATACCCATTGTAGCATTTCAGTGTGGCTTGCTGTGGCAGATAATACCAGGGCATTCTTGTTAGCTGTCCAAACCACTTCATTTCTTTCTTTGGTGACCTGTAAGACTGACTTTATTCCTAGCATTCATGTGATTTTGTATTCTGTCTTTCCTTGAAACTCCTGCAGCACTTCTAGGGCATTTCCTCTCTGTTGTCACAATTTTTTTCTACAAATGTCAAAAATTCCAGCCAGGACCTAAAATAAACTGGTCACAAATTAAGCTTCTGGTTCCAGAAAAGAAACCCAGTTCACTCTAACAAATTTTCAGCATAGGAAGGTATTATAAAGTGATTTCAAATATACCTCTGACTTCAGATAGCAAATGCAACAAAAATAAAATTATGATAATTCAATTTAAAGAGTTTCTACACTGGAATTTAAAGACATTTCTTCGGGGGAAAAAAATTAAGATAAAGGATTATCAACTTGTCCCAAAAATAAGATGCTTCCATCGGCTCGATGATCGCTGATTAGAAAGAGAAACGGATGATCCACTTGAACCTCTGGAACAGGTGGCGGCATACTTCTCATCATCATCACCGCACCGGTAGCTGCAGCAGCCTCTGTGCCTTCCTCATTCACCTGGACAAAGGCTTTGTGGGCCACCTCAGACAAGACCAGATCTCGCTGACCGGTCATTCCTGAAAAGTTTGCACGTCCCTCGCTGAAAGCATCGGCCATTCCTAGACTTGTCAGAGCTTGTTTCAGCCTGTATGTACTTGTTATCTGGCAATTGTCAAATTCTTTTTGATTAAAAATGTTACACGATAAACTTCAAAAAAGTAATGCAGGATATAAGTTATATTTTTTATTTAAAAACGACCATATCTTCAAGAAGAATATTCATATATGCAGAATATAAGTTATATGTTGTATTTAATAATAATTTTTAAAAAAAGTCCAACTGTTTAAATAAATTAATGCAGGTATTTATCTATTTTATGTATTTTAAAATATAAAAGTATTTCAGCTAGTGTCTGAAATAATAGGGTCCCAAAGGAACTATGTGATCTCAGAAAATAATCCAGTTTACTATAAAACAAAATGTATCTGTAGGCAAGGAGTCCTAAAAATATCCCTAAAAGTACACATCTTTTTCAATACTGAACAGCACAAATCAAATACTATAGTTTTACTCAAAGGACTTCTCTGCTGACAGCAAAGAAATGGTCCAGGAAAAAAAAATTGTAATTAAAATGAGGGATTATCAACTTGTCCCCCAAAAAAAAAAAGATGCTTCCTTCAGCACAATGATCACTGATTAGAAAGAGAAACAGGTGATCCACATGAACTACTGGGACAAGTGGTAGCATCAGTAGCTGCAGCTGCCTCTGTATCTTCCTCGGTCACCTGGACAAAGGCTTTGTCGGCCACCTCAGACAAGACCAGATCTTGCTGGCCCGCCATTCCAAAGAAAGTTTGCACGCCCCTGGCTAAAAGGGTCAGCCATTCCTAGACTTTGTCAGGGCTTGTTTCAGCATGTATGTGCTTGTTATCTGGCAACTGTCAAATTCTTTCTGATTAAAAAAGCTTTACAGATTAAAACTTTACGAAAAATTTACCAATTTAAATTTGTTATTCAATAGCTTCTGAATATTTGAGATGCAATCAGAAATAAATATGTACAGGGGAAAAAAACCCAGATTAATCCTGAAATTCCTAAATAACCATTCAGGTTTTTTATAGACAAATCTTATCTAAAGTAAGAACTCAAGTATATCTTAAATGTTTAAGGATGCCATTTCATAAAAAATAAAAATAAAAAAAAAAACTACACAAGTATTTTTAAATTTGTGAGGATTCCATTTACTACAAACAAATTCTAGGTATTTTACATTCTTAGATTTTCATTCTTTAAAATGTTTTAATATTTTATTCAAAGATCATAAAATGGTCCTAAATGTACCGCTTTCAGATAATTAATCCAGCTTACAAAAAAAAAAAAAAAAATTATCACAATGAGCAAATATTAATAGTTTAGCTTAGAAGTTTCTATGGTGAAAAAACAGTTTTTGTTTTCACTGCAAATAAATTATTTACAATGAAGGATTTTCAACTTGTCCCAAAAATAAGATGCTTCCATCGGCGCGATGATCGCTGATTAGAAAGAGAAACGGGTGATCCACTTGAACTACTGGAACAGGTGGCGGTATACTTCTTTTCATCATCACCGCACCTGTTGCAGCAGCAGCCTCAGTACCCTCCTCATTCACCTGGACAAAGGCTTTGTTGGGCCACCTCAGACAAGACCAGATCTCGCTGACCGGTCATTCCTGAAAAGTTTGCACGTCCCTCGCTGAAAGCATCGGCCATTCCTAGACTTGTCAGAGCTTGTTTCAGCCTGTATGTACTTGTTATCTGGCAATTGTCAAATTCTTTTTGGTTAAAAATGTTACACTATAAACTTCAAAAAAGTAATGCAGGATAGAAGTGATGTTTTATTTAAAATCGACTATATCTTCAAGATGGATACTCAAATAAGCAGAATATAAGTTATATGTTGTATTTAATAATAATAAAAAAGTCCAACTGTTGAAATAAATGAGTGCAGGTATTTATATATTTTATGTATCCTAAAATTTTAAAGTATTTCAGCTAATGTCTGAATTAATAGGGTCCCAAAGGAACCATGTGATCTCAGAAAATAATCCAGTTTACTATGACAAAATGTATCTGTAGGCAAGGAATCATAAAATTATTTCTAAAAGTACACCTCTTTTTAAATACTGAACAGCACAAATCAAATACTATAGTTTTACTCAAAGGACTTCTCTGCTGACAGCAAAGAAATTGTCCAGAAAAAATAAATTGTAATTAAAATGAGGGATTATCAACTTGTCCCAAAAATAAGATGCTTCCTTCAGCATTGTGATCACTGGGACAGGTGGTAGCATGCAATACTTCATCACCACCACCCCAGTAGCTGCAGCTGCCTATTTATCTTCCTCGGTCACCTGGACAAAGGCTTTGTGGGCCACCTCAGACAAGACCAGATCTTGCTGGCCCATCATTCCAAAAAAAGTTTGCACGCCCCTGGCTGAAAGGGTCGGCCATTCCTAGACCTGTCAGGGCTTGTTTCAGCATGTATGTGCTTGTTATCTAGCAACTGTTAAATTCTTTCTGATTAAAAAGCTTTACAGGTTAAAACTATACAAAAAAATTCCCCAATTTAAATTTGTTATTCAATAGCTTCTGAAATATTTGTGATGCAATCAGAAATAAATATGTACAGGGGAAAAACCCAGATTAAACCTGCAATTCCTAAATAACTATTCAGGTTTTTTTTATAGACAAATCCTATCTAAAGTAAGAACTCAGGTATATCTTAAATGTTTAAGGATGCCATTTAATAAAAAATTATAAAAAAAACTAGGGATTCCATTTACTACAAACAAATTCTAGGTATTTTACATTCTCAGATTTTCCTCCTATAAAATGTTTTAATATTTCATTCAGGAGTCATAAAATGATCCTAAATGTACCGTTTTCAGATAATTAATCCAACTTACTATAAAAAATTATCACAACGAGCAAATATTGATAGTTCAACTTAGAAAGTTTCTATGGTGAATGACAGTTTCTGTTTTCACTGCAAATATTTACAGTGAAGGATTTTCAACTTGTAACACAAAAATAAGATGCTTCCATCGGCGCGATGATCACTGATTAGAAAGAGAAACGGGTGATCCACTTGAACTACTGGGACAGGCAGCGGCAGACAATTCATTGCCACCACCACCCCAGTTGCAGCAGCAGCCTGTGTACCTTCCTCATTCACCTGGACAAAGGCTTTGTGGGCCACCTCAGACAAAACCAGATCTCGCTGACCCGTCATTTCTGAAAAGTTTGCACGCTTCTCGCTAAAAGCATCAGCCATTCCTAGACTTGTCAGCTGTGACTTCAGCAGGTATTCGCTGGTTATCTGGCAATTATCAAATTCTTTCTGGTTAAAAAGTCTTGCAAGTTGCCACTTTACAAAGAACTCCGCAATTTAAATTTGTTATTCAACAACTTCTCAAAGGTAAAAGTGGTCGCTAATAAATATATTCAGGAAGTAGAATAAAAATTGATCGTGTGTGCAACTGCTGATCTGTTGGTAACTGCTACTACCATCAATGATGAACTGCATTTCTAATGTCGGACTGTTTGTATTAGCACTTCTGATGGCTACCGTATGCTTTTAATGCGTGTGCATGCTAGTGCATATGCTGAGACATCAGTCTGTCAATCTTTCCACAAGGGACTGTGATGAACATTGTGTGTGTTTTTCGTTGGTACAGGAGAGGAGCAACTATGGAGTGACCCATTTGCTATTAAGCTGAAACTTAGATTACCAAGAATAATTATGCAATTCAAATGTACTAGTTTATATTTATGTGGATAAAATTGGTTTCAAGAAAGAGTTCGAGTATTTCTAAACTTTCTGAGGTTGATATTTATTCTTTTTGTTTTGTTTTTAAATTCCAGGTATTTAACTTTTCTGGACTTTAATTTCACATTAGGAAATAATCAGGTCAGGGGTCATGTTATAATCCCAAATGTATTCAATTTTTTAAAATAATAAACTCAGCCTGCTGAAAACAGGAGGGATGAAATATCAGTTGTTTAAGAGAAAAGGAATATTACTCAAAATAAAGTATTTACTGTGAAAGATTATCAACTTGTCCCAAAAATAAAATGCTTCCATCGGCTTGATAATCAGTGATTAGAAACAGAAATGGGTGATCCACTTGAATTACTGGGACGGGCGGCGGCAGGCCGCCACAGCACCCTGACATCACCAACCCTGTAGCTGCAGCTGCCTCTGTGCCTTCCTCTTTCACTTGGATAAACCCTTTGTGGGCCACCTCAGACAAGACCAGATCTCACTGACCCATTATTCCTGAAAAGTTTGCAAGCTCCTTGCTAAAATCATCGGCCATTCCTAGACTTTTCAGCGGTGACTTCAGCAGGTTTTCGCTGGTTATCTGGCAATTGTCAAATTCTTTCTGGTTACAAAATCTTACAAGTTGTTTGTGGTTAAAAAAGGCTACAAGATCCTTTGCAGTTAAAAAGGCTAAAGGTACTTAGCGGTTAAAAATGCTACACTTTAATGTGTGGTTAAAAATGCTATTCGTTAATTGTGATTAAAACTGCTACAATTTATTTGTGGTTAAAAATACTACATGCTATTTGTGGTTACAAGTTCTCTACCATTAAAAAGGCTGCAAGTTCTTTGCAGTAAAAAAAAAAAAAGTTACAATTTCTAAGCACTTAAAAGTGCTACAAGTTCTTTGCAGTTAAAAATGCTACACATTATTTGTGGTTACAATTTTTACAAGTTCTCTGCTTTTAAAAAGGCTACAAGTTCTCTGTAGTTAAAAATGCTAGTTCTTAGCAGTTAAAAATGCTAGAAGTTCTCAGCAGTTAAAAATGCTACATGTTATTTGTGGTTAAAAATTCTACATGTTATTTGTGGTTAAAAAATTCTACATGTTATTTGTGGTTAAAAATGCTACATGCTATTTGTGGTTAAAAATCTTTAAAGTTCTCTGGGGTTAAAAATGCAACATGTTATCTGTGATTAATCATTTAAAAAAAATTATCTGCGGTTAAAAAGGCTACAAGTTCTTAGTGGTTAAAAATGCTACACATTATTTGCGATTAAAAATGCAACATGTTTTAAGTGATTAATAATCTTAAAAGTTCTCTGGGGTTAAAAATGCAACATGTTATATGTGATTAATCATCTTAAAAGTTCTCTGCGGTTAAAAATGCTTCATGTAATTTGTGGTTACAAATTCTACATATTATTTGTGGTTAAAAATCTTTCAAGTTCTCTGCCGTTAAAATGCTACAAGTTCTTTGTGGTCAAAAATGCTACAATTTCTTAGCAGTTAAAAATGCTACACATTATTTGTGGTTTAAAATCTTACAAGTTCTCTGCAGTTAAAAAAGCTTCAATTTTTTTGTGTGGTTAAAAAAATACCAGAATTTCTTAGCGGTTAAAATGCTACATATTATTTGTGATGACAAATGCTACATGTTATTTGTGATTAATAATCTTAAAAGTTCTCTGGGGTAAAAAATCTTTAAAAAATTTTGTGTAGTTAAAAAGGCTACAAGTTCTCTGCGGTTAAAAAGGCTACAAGTTCTCTGCGATTAAAAAGGCTACAAGTTCTCTGCAGTTACAAAGACTACAAGTTCTTAGTGGTTAAAAAGGCTACACTTTATCTACGGTTAAAAATCGTGAAAGTTCTCTGCGGTTAAAAAGGCTACAAGTTCTCTGTGATTAAAAAGGCTACAAGTTCTCTGCGGTTAAAAAGGCTACAAGTTCTCTGCGGTTAAAAAGGCTACAAGTTCTCTGCGGTTAAAAATCAAGTTGTCTGCGGTTCAAAAGGCTACAAGTTCTCTGCGGTTCAAAAGGCTACAAGTTCTCTGCGGTTCAAAAGGCTACAAGTTCTCTGCGGTTAAAAAGGTTACAAGTTCTCGGCGGTTAAAAAGGTTACAAGTTCTCTGCGGTTAAAAATCAAGTTGTCTGCGGTTAAAAATCAAGTTGGCTGCGGTTAAAAATCAAGTTGTCTGCAGTAAAAAAGGCTACAAGTTATCTGCGGTTAAAAAGGCTACAAGTTCTTAGTGGTTAAAAAGGCTACACTTTATCTGCGGTTAAAAAGGCTACAAGTTCTTAGTGGTTAAAAAGGCTATACATTCTTAGCAGTTAAAAATGCTACACGTTATTTGTGATTTAAAAAAATGCTAAATGTTCTTTGCAGTTAAAAGGCTACTAGTTCTGTGCGGTGAAAATGCTTGAAGTCAAATCTGTATGAAGGGTTTATAAGACAAAGGTGCAATGTCAACAAATCATTATATAGGGCTAAAAGACAGTATTAATTCTTTCATCCACAAAGGAAGACAGTGAAGACGAGATCTGAAGAATAGCAAACTGACACAGAACCGGTGTTATCAGTCGACACATGCTGAGACAGATAATGAAGATTGATTTATCAAATGTGCAATGAGAATAATCAGCGACTGAGTTAATATAACAATGGTCTGTGACCAAAGGTGGTTTCAAAGTTTTGCTTTCTTTGAAGGAATCAGTAAAGTATGATGAGTTCCTATTGCATTCAGTACACTCCCACAAACGATCTGTCCCCATCTTCAGTAGCTAGCAAGAGAGTTCCAATTCTGATGGTACCAGTAACTGTCTTATAGTACATCCATCTTGCCTTTCCCTTGAGTGCTGAGCGTCGGCCATATATCCTGGCAACTCCGTAATGATCTATTTGGGCCTCCGCATTGTTCACTTGCTTCCAAAGGGCACCTCACAAGCTTGATGAGTTCCTAATGTATAGAAGTGAATCATGGACAGTCTTCCATCAGTCAGACACTGTGTGAAAGCTGCAGGGGTGTGGTTACATAGAAGAATGACGGCAAGGCTATGGACAGATGTAAAGTAAATGAAGATGTCTTGAAAGAAATCAATGATGACGACAACAGGCACAGCAAGAAATGAATTATGACGACAACATGCACAGCAAGAAATGAATTATGAGGACAACAAGCACAGAAAGAAATGAATTATGACGACAACATGCACAGCAAGAAATGAATTACGACGACAACATGCACAGCAAGAAATGAATTATGACGACAATATGCACATCAAGAAATGAATTATGACGACAATATGCACAGCAAGAAATGAATTATGATGACAACATGCACAGCAAGAAATGAATTATGACGACAACATGCACAGCAAGAAATGAATTATGACGACAACATGCACAGCAAGAAATGAATTATGACGACAACATGCACAGCAAGAAATGAATTATGACGACAACATGCACAGCAAGAAATGAATTATGATGACAACATGCACAGCAAGAAATGAATTATGACGACAACATGCACAGCAAGAAATGAATTATGACGACAACATGCACAGCAAGAAATGAATTATGACGACAACATGCAGATAAAAAAGTGTAACAAAGATGTCTTGAAAGAAAGAAATGACGACAACATGCACAGATTAAAAAAAAAAAAGGTGTCATGAAGATGTTTTGAAAGAAATTAACCCACAAATAAAAAAATGATGAGAACATGCTGGACAAATAAAAAGCGTAATGAATATGTTCTGAAAAAAATTCATATGACTAAAATCGAGAGGTGGTTGAACAACCAGAACTTTCTGTTAGAGTTTACAACAAGTGAAGGAGAAGAAAGAAAGAAATTAACATATGAAGAGAAGAATGATGACAACAACATGGACAAATGAAAGAGAGTAATGCCTATGTCTTGAAAGAAATTAACTTATAAAGAGAATTGATTACTTCCAACGGGAAGAAAAGGGGAGGGAAAAAATGTATTTACTGTTTGTATTGACCACATCTGAGGTGGTACAGGACCCGGAACCGAGTGCCCAAAGACTGTAGGCAACATAACTAGCAGTCACTATGAACTGCACATTATAATTTTTATCACCCCTTCCTCCACAGAAAAATAAATGTCATTCCTTGCAAAAGATCAAACCTGGTTTCCCACATGAGAGCCCAGTGCTCTAACGACTTGGCCAGCCAATACAAAAGAAGTGTATTGGAAAATGAACAGGCGGACAGACTGGCTGGCTCTGCACAACTTGGTGTGCATGATAAGGCAGACATGGTTACGGCCTTGTGGGAGAACGTGTACAATTCGAAGGAGTAAATGGATCACCAGTCTGGTGAAAATGATGCAGCAGGAAGTGATGAGGAGATATGGCCGATACTCAACACTCAGAAGAAAGGCAAGACGTATGTATAAACAGAATGTCATAGGCACCACTGGCTGCGGAAGATGGGATAGTGCGCTTATCGGAATGCCCCAAGCGCTGTGATATCGGTTCTTGAATCAACTCAACTCTACAAAAGAAGAGGAGGATCTATATTTCTTTAGCATATCATGACAAGAGCAAAACTGTAATACACTGTGACAACAGTGAAGTTGGAGGAAATAAGAGGCATGGGGCAGAGCAGGAAAGAGGCTGTTGAACAGTATTGCAAGATGTCATGCAGGACTGGCAGAAGTCATGCGGACTGACAAGAATGATGAGCACCACATGGTATGGGTTATACTAAACAACAAAAAGAGTTTCTATATTCACAACATCTAGTTACCACAACACTGGGCTACATCCTGGTATCAATGAGACAACAAAAGAAGAAGATCTAGTTACCTCAAATTTAGGAAGATAAAGTTGAATCTTCTGTTTCTTGAGAGAAACATTTTTTATGACCCTGTTCAATCTCTCAGGCGTTAGGTTCTCTACAAGCTCCTGTTGAAGAAAAATAAAAGAAACAAAACAAAAAATAAATAACGTGATATAACATACTGATTTAAACAAACGTTAGTCTCCCCAAACAAAGTAAGTCACATTTTATTGACAACTTTGTTGGACTTACCTACTTTCCTTGGGGTTACGGGTGTGCCGCTAAGTTGTTTGCTTTCTGGCTTGTCTTGCATTAATGTTTTTTTTCAGAGAAAGAGAATGACTGTGAGCTCCCTCGAGGGGAGTTGTGTGTTAGACCCAGTTTGTCCATGTTTTTGGAATGTTAAAAGCACTGGCGTGCTGAAATATACAACACACAATATCAAAAACCTTGTGTGAAGGCCATGTGGCTCAAGGTCGACCAATCAGAAGTAAACTAGGCTGAAGCTCGGCCAATTAGAAGTGAGGTAGTGTGTAAATGGGAGGACTAACTTTACTTTTTCCACATCAAGTTCCCCAGTGACTGGTGTGGGTCTTTTAACAGTACGTATCATTTTGTACAATTCTTTAAAGACTAACAAATGAGATGGTTTGGCCACCTGACGAGAATGCCCTGATAAACAACTGCCACAGAGAGCCACACTGAAGAAACAGAATGAACACAGAGCAAGGGGAAGACCAGACAAGAGATGAACAGAAATGAACACCAACTTGTACAATGCATTGGAAAAAGTGCACAATCAATCTTTACATCTTCCCCCCAACACCTCGCCGAGGCAAATTGTGCAAAAGAAGAAGATAATTTCGTACAGCCATATTGGTAAAACTAACACGGTATACGCTGGCAAGAATTTCTAAGCTCCAATGACATAGATTTATTGCAGAAAAGATTCATCATTTCATAAAATGCAGTTGTAGCCTATTCTGATCTTTATCTCTGTGATACATCTTCTGTTGGATCTTATCCATGTATCTAGATATATAAATTTCTGTACTTATCTAATAAATATATTTGTTCAAGTATTCAGAAACCATGAGTTGTAAACCCTTCGGCTTGGTATTATGGATATCGCAACCCTCGCTCTCGCTGTCACTGTATAGTGAGTGAGGCTCGTGGCCAGGGCCCCTGCTAAATAACAAAGCCCTATTAGAAGACGGTTCTTTATTTATATCCTACCCCAAACAGGGGAAATCCACACTTCACGGGACAGTCTAATATTTCAGGGAGTGGTGGATAAGCTGCATGCAGTTATGAGACCTAGGCTGCACTCTCTCATGGGACATAGGTGGGTTGGGGTTAGGGTCAGGTTTAGATGTTATGTGGTCGTCAAAAGCATCAGAAAGCAGGGAACCCCAGTCTTACCACCCTCTAAAATGTTTGACTGTCCTGTGACATCGTCTGGGGCAGGATAATAATAAGGCACCTAGATGACAATGAAAGGTTTAGAATGGCTCCAGTCATTCCAGAGATAGGATCAATTATTCCTTCGAAGTCGGAGTGCATCCGCATGAGGGCAAGCAAACATCAGACTGCAGCCAATGCTTGGTTGACCTGCAGCTCTGTAAAACAGATGCAGATGCAAGACTCAGCTTCTGGAAAAAGCCAGAGTGCAGAAATGGATAACCAACCAGGACTTTCTGCTTCAGTTTATAGCTGGTGAAAGCAAACAAAACAAATTGGATGACTTATAATTTATTATTATAGAAAACAAAGTAGATAACTTATAATTTATACATATTAGATTCATAAGTTGATTGTTTTTTGTGTGTGTGTGTTCCCCATTTGGGGGGAAAAAGAACAGACCTATTGCCCCCCAACAAGCTATAAACAGGCAACTAATCAGGGGAGATTTTACTTGACATCGGAGAGCATCTTCCTGAGAGGCAAGAAACCAACAGTCTGCATACAAATAAGCCAGATTTGTAAAATGGATGTGCACTCAAAACTCAAGTTCCAGAACAAGACCAAAGTCCAGAAACAGACGAACTACCAGAATAGAACTTTCTGTCAGAATTTACAGCCGCTGAGGCTAAGAAGAAACAGAGCTTTTTTTGTGTGTGTCAATGCCATGATTTCCTCAAATTTCTGCTGACCCCCCCCCTACAGTGAGCAAACTGGAAACACTGGCCTAAAGAGACAACAGTCCTCACTGTATCATCATCTCCATACCTCATCCTTATCACACACAACACACTCTATACCTCAAGACCAAAATCCTCATCTGGAAGAATAATGACCATCCCAAGCTCCTGACCCTTATAGAGCAGTTCCACGGCTGTGAACTTGAGCTCACTGTCTTTATAAATACCGTAAGTTTGTTTGTTGTACATTGTGGGAACATCTTTAGTTTCTTCAGGTGACAGCTTAAACGGCCTGGGAGATGTGCTTTTGGCAGCGAATTCTGTGTCCCATTTACCTGGAGAGAAATGGAGGGTAAAATAATTCCTTGTCCCACTTACATGAAAACAAAAAGAAATGTAAGGGCGAGGCATTCCTCGTCCCATTTACACTGAGGCAGCGAAATTAATGTCAGGTATAATAATTTCTTGTCTCACTCACATGGAGATAAAAGGAAATGTAATGTAAGGGTAATTCCTTGTCCCATTTACATGCAGAAATAAATTTAAGACATAGATCATTCATTGTCCCACTTATGCAGAGATAGGAAGAAATGTAAAATAATTCCTTTTCCTACTTAGATGAAGACAGATATGGGATCTTTACTTAATTTTACTCAGTTGCAAAAAGACAATATACCACAACGAGTAAAGAAGTATAGACCTAGTAGGAATTGAAAGATCATGTAAATGATGAACAGAGGGATGGCAGCTGAACAGAGGGAATAACAAATGAACAGAGGGAATGACAGATGAACAGGAGAAATGACATGAACAGGAGGAATGACAAATAGACAGGGGCAATAACAGATGGAAAGAGGCAATAACAGATGAACAAAGGCAATAACAGATGAACAAAGACAATAACAGATGAACAAAGGCAATAACAGATGAACAAAGGCAATAACAGATGGACAAAGGCAATAGATGAACAAAGGCAATAACAGTTGGACAAAGGCAATAACAAATGAACAAAGGCAATAACAGATGTACAGAGGCAATAACAGATGGACAAAGAAAATAAGGGAATCATAGGGAACATTCATCTATGAGGCATACAAACAGGAACTCTCATGCTGTGTACTCTGAGAGACCAAGATTAGACTAGAAGAATTCAGCATCACACACACAAAATATTTCACCTTTGAAATAGATGGCATTCACTAGCACCATCCGGGTCACGGCATTTATGACGCCCTCTGCAAACAAATCTTTGATCTTGTTCTGCGTCTGTTCTGCCACCCAGGCGTTGATCTTTGCTGCCTCAATCTCTGGCTGTTCTTTAAAGTTGGCCTGTGCAGGTTCTGAAAGCACACAATGAAACTGGGGCACTCATCTCATTTAGCACAACACTATCAGATACGGGAGCCAACGTGGCGAAGCAGCTTCTGCCTGGGGATTGGAAGGTCGTAGGTGCGGGTCTTGATGGAGCCGGACTTAAAAAAAAAAATGACCCTGGCTCTCAGGTCGACCCAGCCTCGAGTGGGTACCAGGTGCAGTCCTGGGAAGTAAAGGTGGCCAGTGTAGTGTTGACCACATCACCCAGCAAGTGCTAATTGGTCTATAAAATATAGGTCTAGCCCTATGTGCCCAATACATTAGAAAAATGTCCTTCCTTTACTTTAAGATATTGGGAGTGAAAGCTGTGTTCTGTTGAATTGGTCTTTTTTTCCCCCTTGCCAATGGTCTTCAGATAGGAAGACCTTTACAAAGGAAGCCTGTGGTATGATGCATGCCCTCCATCGATCCGCACAGCTTGGCTTCAAACTGGCCAACATGAGACCTATCTACTGCATGCAGAGAGCACATAATTCACTATCCACATGGGTTTTGAGTCACCAAAATCTTGAATTTCGTGCACATTTGGCTGTAGAGTCTGTTGTGTCCAGTTCATAAACCAAAAACAATGGTCTGTTGCTTTCATGCCAGGTTGATCAGGTCTGCTGGAAGGTGCTTCAATGGGTTCTGTGGTTTGTTGTTTGCGTTCACCGGCTGTAAACCCCGGCAAAAAGACCTGGTTGTTCGTCCATTTCTGGAATTCGGCTTTGTTCCAGGACCCGAGTTATGCACATGCATCCATTTTACAGATCTTGCTTAATTGTATGCAGACTGTTCGTTCCTTGCCTCTCAGGTAGATGCACTCTGATGGAAGCCCCCCCCCCCCCCCCCCCCCCCCCCCCCCCAGTTAGTTGCCTCTTACGATATACTTGTTGGGTAAGAAGTGGGTCTATTCTTGTTTCCAATGGGGTCCCGGAACCCACGTGGGGACCAATGGGTTTTAATGGCTGCCTTATTCTGAGTTTTCAAAAGAGTATACTGTATCTGGCTGTTCTGTATGACTTTCAATATTTGCTAGGTAGTCTGCTCATTCATTTCCTGTTACATTTACTTCAAAGATCCCGGGCTGTTAGCATCCTTTGGATATTTTCTCCAGGTTGTGCCAGTGTGTTGGGAAATGAGCAGGCAGGCAGACTGGCCGTTTCTGCACCATTTAGTGGTGAATTGATGTATACAAGCTTGATGTTGTGAGGGCCCTTTGTGAGTTACTGAACAGTGCCGAGGAATACACAGATTGTTATGGTCTGAGGAGAATGGCGCTGTGAGAAGTTACAAGGGGATCTGGCCAACGCTCAATACTCAAGGGAAAGGCGATAGGGATATACAATCAGACAGTTACTGGTACCATTGGAATTTTAACTCTTTGCTTGCTGCTGAAAATGGGGGACGACAATCTTATGGGAGTGTCCCGAGTGCTGTGATGTCGATTTTTAATTCAACATTTCCTGTATTGCTGCAGTGGTCTGCAGTCCACTGGTGCACAGCCTGCTGTGATGACAATACCTCGCTGCGGGAACAAGTGTACTAAGACATGACCAACTAGGCACCCCTACAAAAAAGTCATTAGCCTGGTCTATCGTACAGACTGAACTCACAATTATTTGATTCAGCATAGATCGAAGATGTAACAAATGAATAAGATTGTAGGAGTGCTTTTATCTGTTGATAGAGACTTTGGGTGAAATGTTTGGTTGCATTTGTGATTTTGTTGTTGTTGCTGACAAAGACTTGGGTTTAGTTGTATTTGTTCTTTACTTATTGATAAAAATTTGTTGTCTTCTTTCTCTTCTTAGCATTCACTGTTTAGTCTTGTTCCAGAAGTTGTGTGTGCTCATCCATTTTACACATGTGGCCTTTTTGTATGCAGGCTGTTGGTTCCTTGACTCTCAGTCCAATGCACTCTGACTTAAAAGAAAAAAATGTCCAATAATCCCCTTTTTTATGACATGACTGTTAAGGACAGCAGAGGATCTATTTTTCTGTGCCCCCCCCCCCCCCCCCCCCAAATAGGGCCTCAGAATCCCCATGGAGAAACTTTTAGCAAATCTTGCTGTATTTATGCTTTTGTTTGTTGATAAAGATATTCTGAAATCTTTCAAACCTGGATGCTTAAAAACAAAGGGGGTCACGAACCTGTGGGAATTTCCAAAAATTCTTTTAAAAATCTATTTCACACAGTTAAGTTAATAAACTGTTACAAAATTAATTGATCAACATTTTATATATTTTTATGTTAAACTATGTAAAGACATTTAAAGGCAGCAGCCACCAAACAAGAACCATTATAGAGAATGAAGTCCCTGTGGCCTAAAACATATATGTATTTAGTGACTCCAGCTGTTTCCCCCTGACCTCTATCATTGAGGCTTATGGAAACATTTGAAGTCAGCTTCGCTTTCAGAAAGCTATTGTATTTACAAGAAAACCCCTTTAAATGCTATAATCAGTTAATATGTTCACCTCTGCGCCTCCTAAACAGAGAAACAATGGCATTTAATTACGCTTTTTTGAAAACAGATAACGGCAACGACGATATTCTGGCATTTAGTGCCGTTTCACAACCAGAAGTGACTAGATGTAGCATTCTGAGGTTATCATGGTTAAAAATGTTGAGGTTGAACAAGTTTGTCTTCTTCACATAGTCTACACTGTGTGGGTAATTGTGTTCACAGTCTTCTGCCTCATGTACTTTTAATTATACGATTAATTTACAGGGAAAGAGAAGTGAGAGAACTTTTCCTGTGTTCACCCTGAAAGGGTGATTGGCGCATATGTTGCCATTTGCAGCCACGCTGTGATATCTGTGTCTTTCGGTCTAACACATCACATGTTGGCAATGCCTTAGTTAGTTGCCTTTTTATGACCTGCTGGGGGGTGGGGGGAGATGGATCTATTCTCCTCCCTTCCCCAAACAGGGCCCCAGAACCCATACAGAGAAAGATAACTAGAATTTACCTGCAAGGTACCATTCTTTTGTTTGCTTTGTGAAAGTCTCCAGAACATTGAAGGTCTTCTCCACAAAGATTCTGTTTGCTGTAGACAACTGGTACTGATCTGACTGCTGCTGTAACTTGGTAAAGTACGCCTGGAACTGCTGATGGATCTGTTCCCCATTCTCCGACTCCCAGCCGAGAACTTTGGCCATTTCCTGCGCTGTTTTCTCACGGGCTCCTAGCTGGGTCATGGAAAGAGCCGCGGATATACTCAGTGGTGACAAGAAGGCATTCTTGCCTTTCAGGTCCTTACGGACGACTTTGAAAAGGCTCAAGGCCAGTATGGTGTTTGCTGAAGCTAGGGTGTTCTGGGACATCTTGAGCTGTTTCTATTATCTGCAGGTTGTGGACAGAAAACAATATGTTTAGAGGAGACAAAAAGTACTAAAAACAACACTACCCATGTGGGTTCCTGGACCCCATTCTGGGGAGGGGGTGGGGTGGAGGGCAATGGACCCACTGCCTCTCTAACAAGCAGGTCCTAAGAGTTGACTAATTAGGGGTTATTTAGTTTCACGATAGTCCCCCCAAGAGAAACTAGGTTACGTTCCATTGATAGCTTTTTTGGACTGGTTGGGAAGGGGGGGAGGGGGGGGAGGGGGGGGGGTTACGGGTGTTCCGCTCGTTTGTTTGCTTTCTGGCTGTAACATAGGTTGCAGCACTGGTGAAAAGGGGGGGGGGGGGGGTGTGTTAGACCCAGTTTCTAAATGTTTTTATAGTGTTAAATGCGTTGGCGTGCTTAAATATACAACATGCGATATCAACAGCATTGCTGAACACCCCCATAGCAGTGTGCGAAGGTCGGGTGACTCAAGGTGGACCAATCAGAAGTGAGCTAGTGTGTATATGGGCGGTCTCTGGGGGGGATTATAGTGGAACTAACCTAGGGGTTTACTTCGAAGTCGGAGCGCATCTACAGGCAACTAAGATAGATCTGTAAAACGGATGTGCAGGCAAAACTTAAGTTCTGGAACAAGACTCAAGTCCAGAAGTGGACGAGCAATCAGAACAACCGTCGGAGTTGACAGCTGGTAAATGGGATGAAAAAGAACAAGAAGAGAGAAGGTGAAAAAAACACTGCTCAAAATGCATAATAAACTTTAACCCAAAATTAGGAAATTTAGAACTGAACATTTTAATCAGCATAAAAGACAGAAATAATTTGATAAAGATATGTCACAAAATGCAGAGTGAAGTAAATGACCCTATACGCAGATATCACAGCCTAGCTATTAACTACAACATGCCAACCACCATTTTAAGTGTAAATACAGAATAAGAACAGAATAAAAAATCTTGGTGAATCTGGTGAGTAATTAATATCACCTAATAGTATAAACATAATTTAGCAAATCATAACTTTAGTCTGGACCCATTAAAGATGCAAACAGCGGAGACTGAAGAAAATGCCAGATATCAGAGATAAAAACTGCATACACTCCTCCTTCTTAAAGTCTGTGCCGTGTGATGTTGGTAGTCAGGTCCATCCACAACCTTCTGCTCTGTGTACTTGCAGTCTACTCTTGACACAGATGATCTTCCATGCCATGATGTCAAACTGTTCAGCATATTTCCTCTCGGTCTCCCTCTGCCTCTCCTCCAGATTTCCTACTATCACGATGTACTCCAGCTTCCTCCTCCTTATCACATGAACAAAGAATGTAAATTGTCTCTTTCTAATGTGAGTAGTCAGTTCTCTTCATGAGTCAGTTTCTTTTAAGACTGCATAGACAACAAAGCTGAATTTGAGCAAACCATGAGGCAGACAAAGAAGATGGAGAGATCAATTACAGGATGACCAATAATCACTTAACTGAACTCACTGACTGGAAAAAGAAAGACAAATCACATAAATAAAAAAAGGCGGGTGATATCTGCAGGAATAAACCTCAAAGGCTCGGAATGCTGAAAAATATGATTAGTTACACAATAAGGTCTTCTTCTTCATGTTCTCACCGACTGTAGGCTCGGCGAGCATAGCGTGCACATAAGTTTTACACACCTAACTTATTTGTACACAGACTGCTAGTTCCTTGCCTCTCAGGCAGATGCACTCCGACTTCGAAGAAAGCCCCCAGTTAGTTGACTCTTACGACATACTTATTGGGAGGCAGTGTGTTTATTCTTGTTTTCCCCACAATTGGGCCCCAGAACCCACAAACAAATCGAATCCACAGTGTGATCCTAGCAGTTGTAAAAATTATTGTTGTCTACTGTGTCCTACACCTTATTTATGTCTTCTACTTTTATCAAATCTAATCAATACTTGCAAAATTATTTCTTACACTACATACACAAACTGAAGAGTTAAGATTTTTCTGTCAACACAATCGGATGAGCCTATGAACTGTGGGCTGAAACTCTGACTGATACGCAGGATATAAAACCAGACATTACGGGCTGTTTTACGACATTAGCTTTTACGCCACTCCTCTCCACCCTACGCCCACATGACACACACTTCACTTGTGACGGGCAGTGCTAGTCTCCACAAGCTAATAATTTAAACTGCACTGCTATAAACTGCACAACCAACTGCTCACATGTGATTAGCTACCTTCCAGGGTTTCTTATCATCATCATGTGCTGTGAATAAGCAATGACAGTCGTGGTTTACCATCTCATACAAACACCGGAATCATTGATTAAAACCCCTGTGTAGATTCAGAGGGCCCCCATTTTGCAGGATAACAGGAATGTGATCAATTAGGGATTATTCCTTTTAAGTCAGAGTTCAACTGTTTAACTCTTTGAGTCCCAGTGGGTTTAGCATCACAGGCCCAAGGGGTAGTCAAAAGAGACATAAAATCAGTGCATCATGCGTTCATTGGGTTTCTAGTTAGGAACTTATGAACGTATGATGCGTTCCTTGGGACTCGGAGTTAGGAGACGAGAAATCTACAGTCTGCATAGAAGTAAGCCAGACCTGCAAAATGGATGTGCAAGCGAAAGTCTAGTCCTGGAATGAGAATCAAGTTTACAGCAACTGAATGGTAAAGAAGAAGAAAGATAGCTGAGGTTTGTGTTCTTGTCCATTGTTGAAAGGTGGCTGAACCATCCATCCAGAAACACATAAATAGTGAGAGAAAAAGAACAAGAGGCAAAAGAGATAGAATGAAATAAAACCATAAAGAGATTTAAAAAAAAAAACAAGTCAGTATTGCTTGTATTTACCTCTTGCTGTGTGGAGAGTGGGGGTTTGAGCCTGAGGATTTAGGGCCGCTTGGCCAGTGCTGTTGCCACAAACTGTACAGGTTCGGATTTTATTTTTGGCCCCGAACAGACACAAAAAAAAAAATCTCCAACCTTACTGGAGATTCAAACCCATGTGTCCTGTATGAAAGCCCTGTGTTCTAATCATTCAGCCAACTCCTTTAGATACAGAGAGTAGAGAGAGCCGCCCCTTTAGATAGAGAGATACACAGAACATGTTTAAAAAATAATAACTGCAAAGAATGAGAGAAAATGGAATTGTGCGGGGGTGGGGGTAAAAGGAATGGCTAAAAACCATGAACCAATTTAAGATAGAAAAAATATTTTGAAACACGACCTTTAAACCTCTAATCAGCTCATTAATATGAGATTGGGTTACAAGTAATTAGGAATTTGAAACAGCCTGAATCAACTCCTAGTCATGCCTTAGAAATTGCTCTATATGTGTTTATTTCTGTTTACTTGCAATCTCCTGATACTTTAGATAGGAATTTTCATTCCCCCTACCTTTTTCAGGTATATTGGGCATATGGGGCTAGACCCATATTTTACACACCTGGCACTTGGGATGTGCGGGGGGGGTTCAACATCATGCCAGTCGCCTTTACTTCCCAGGATTTTACCTGGTGCGCAATTTAAAGCAGCTGGGCTGACCTGGAAGCCAAGGTCAGTTTTGAAGAGGAGAGCGAAGTACTTAAGGGTCTGTCCAAAGTGCTGTGATGACAGTCCTCACTAATTGCTGGCTAAGAGTTGACGGGCTTGGGATTTGCTGTCTCCTCATACAAAACTCTATAGCCACAGACATCAATCAGCAAAACATTGTTGTTGCTCGTCCATCACAGTTGGTGATGATGACCAGTCTTTTCATCCAACGGTGACTGGATTAGACATCAATTAGCTATTAAAAAATATAAAAAAGGATCACAGACTACAAACCACCCACAGGGGCTCATGTGCACACGTATACACACCCATATATAACATGAGACAGATAATGAAACAGGGGGGAAAGGAAAGAGGGGGGAAGGGGTGTACTAGGAATGGCTACAAATCATGAACCAAGATAAGATATAGCTATTTTGAAACATTTAAATCTTTTAATATTTTTTAAACAGATAGACAGAATGAGAAAGAAAGAGACACAGACAGAAGAAAACACAAAACAGAGAAAATGTGAAACACTGACGGAAACAAACAGAATTAACATTACCAGTCACTCTGTAAACAAAATGGCCAATAATGTGAACCGACCACTAGAAAGCAAGATTTCACAGATAAGATTAGAATGAATTATTACTGGCAATCTGAGAGCACTTGGTGGAGTCTGATAACAGCAATAAAACCGACCTCGCCACAAACATGGAAACAGGAAAAGGGACACTATGCATTATAGAAGTTGCCACAAGTCAAGACACTCTACAATTTGTTCTTCTTCGGCACATTTTATTCCCCCAGTAAAGCATAGTAATTACGCTTTATACAGATTTCACAGCCAAGCTGTAAACTACAACATAGCAACCACCCTTTTGAGTGTGAATGCAGAATAAGAACATACTCAAGAAATCTTGGCGCATCAGGCAAACTGTCAAAGTAATTAATATCACCTAACAATATGAATTACAAAAGTGAATTACAAAAGACAATGAAGTTCATACTAGAGACAACACTGCAGATATAGATAATCTATTTCAAGTGAACAAAAGAAAAGAAGAACCTAACAATATAAAAATAATTTAGCAGTTCATTTCTTTTAGTTCGGACCCCTTAGAGATGTAAACTGCAGAGAAAGGAGAGAATGACAGAGAATAGAGAGACAAAAACTGCATATACAAATGCGCTGAACTGGAAATGGACCTTAGGATAACGTACCAATTCATACCAAGTTATTCAATCCTTTGCTATCGCGATGCAACACCATCCTGATGCAGTCACAGATTCAATGGGCAGATCATGTTGTCTGCTTGCCAGACCATCAACTCCCAAAAATAATCTTGTATAGTGAGATATAGGAAGGTAAATGCTCTCATGGTGGCCAGAAAAGGGGGAAAAAAAACTTCAAGGATACGCTCAAGGCATCACTTAAAGTCTTGAATACAGAGCCTGA